CAAAGGACTGGGCCGTGATCTCGATTTGATTAGCGTCGGTAAATATACGAACATGTGTATAAAACATTATGTAATATATATATGACTCAGCTGTGTGGTTAGGTGGTTCACTGGCTATTCCTTAACCTCACTCGTTTTGATAGGCCGATTGTGCACACAAACTCCAGCCCAAGTGGCACCTAAGTAATCGCTAAATGTCACGAAGCACTTGTGTTTGATTTATTAATGTCGGAAAAGTCCTGACTGCGTATCCTGCGATTTTTAGTAGACATTTAATATTTATAATATTATTTCCGTGTCTCTTGTGTTCTGCAGAGTTCTGTTGTGGGTGTCTAGGTGTCAGGTGACAGATGTCTTTATAGTTTATTTACGAAGGATTTTTACAAGTGGTATGAGGTTTCTTCCGTTTGTTCAGATCTCCTTCACATAGGTATATTTGATTGTTGGTTTTTCTATAATTCATCGAGGTATGTTTCAATGTTTCTTCAGTGATATTTAGGACAGGTGGACGAGTCCTAAGAGACCAGATACCCTTCTGATCTTGTTTCAACCCATGTTCTTAAGATCTTTTAGTTTGGTATATGTAATCATACTAACTGATTAGTAAATCCATGCAGGTTCTACGATAAAAATATTTAATCGATTGGTTAAATTACTAGATCTCGTGGTAATAATTTGCATCGATGTTGAAACATTCAATTTGAACATCATTTCAGTTTACACTTTTTGTTACAACATACCCAAGTACCTAATGGTAATATATCAAAGTAACATAGTATTTTATTCTCGTATATTACAACGTCTATTACGCATATAAATTCGAGTGTAATATAATATTATTTTTTGTATTGTTATCATATAAACGACACATTTGGTCGACGGTACACCCACCATTGGTGTTAAATACTAGTTATAATAATAAACGGTATAAATGTATTAAAATAAAAAATTCAGTTTTCACAGTACGTCGTTAACGTGTTGACGTGTTAAACTTATACACATATATGGCTGCGACGCCCACAACATAATTATACTATACTTTTCCTCACCCCATTGTACACTTTTTTTTCACTGATAACTTTTTTTTACCTCCCCCCACACCAGGCGTTTGTTATCTATAGGTATCGAACCGAATCCATATTATTGTTGTTATTTCCACAGAACGAGGTGAATACGACAGTTACGTTTTACGTTTTTATTTATTTTTATTATTGTCACGAGTGGCGTCGTCTCTGCACAACAAAGGCGTTCTATGATTAAAATAAAAGCGTTTTACAATATGAATGTATATATATTATTTATAGTAAAAGTCGGATATCATCCCGAGTCCCTCAGACACATCAAAAACGTCTCAATATTTTTATTTATTTTCTCGGACGTAAATGTTTATTGTATGAAAACAATGGATTTTCCGTTGACAAAACTAATAACGATTTCTTTCACGCGTTAAAGACACTATACAGTATTATATATAATACATATTATACATATACGCCATTTAAAAGCATTCAACACGATAAGTATCCGACGGCTCAGTTTAGAAACATGTGAAAAGTTTTTCACGTCTTGCCTCGACACAATTTAAATTCAAAACAAATTCAATTTTATAGATGTGTGGAACTTAAAAAAGACAATAATAATGAATACCTACCTAACATACTATCGTGTTTTTTTCGAGAATATTTTTCCACGTCCACTAAATTTTATAAATAAATTTATTTCAATATGTTGAGTATTTTATGGTCACCATATATATTATCCTAAACTCGTTTTCTGACAATCTGTTTCAAGGAATAATGTTAAGATTTTCATTATAATTCATTATACAATCATTCGAAACATTTAAACAAGTTTAGTAAAAAAAGAAATTAAATTATTTAAGAGCTAGAATTCCGGTTCAGTTGTATTCTATTTAGGAATCTGACTCGGTCGACGATGTTTATATTTTTGTTTTATTATAGCCGTTTTTATTTTAATTTTTAACTATTAAATACTTTTAATTTCTGGTCAGATGGCACTGCTGGGAGCCTTCCTATTCTTATTAATGTTACTTTATGTCACCAACTTACTTATTATACCTTGTCTGTTGCATAGATTGTAAAAACTATTAAATACATACAAATAATAACTATGTAATAATGTATTACCATTTACCGTTATACATTTTTATATTTAGACATCGTTGTTGTGTCTCAATAAAATAAAATATGTTAATCTCGAACTGTTTATACCAAGAACAACTTAATCCAAATGATACAGTAAAATACACATCAAGAACAGGCAAACACTTACTAAACCATATTGCGCAAATTAGATTATAAACTCTGGTAAAAGTGTTAGGTCAGGTTTTTTTCCCTATAGGTACAACCAAAAGTGGTGTTATACTGTATTATACATACCTAGGTATCGTAATGCTACCTATGTAAACTTTACCTTTGTATACTTGTTGTACTCTCATTTGGTATTTATACTGAAGTGCACGCCCATATGGTGTTTGTAAAAGCAAAAATAATATACGACATCGTTTAAAATAACTTTCTTTTTTTCGTATTCGTCACCGGTAGGTAGTTTATCCAGAAAAGAAATTTAGATCTGTAATCCGGCCAAAATCCCAATGGCCTTGCTACTAACCGGTGTTTAAACCTCATATCCGCTATCACATTATATATTTTACTTTATTTTTATTCCTGAATATAATAGGTATATAAATACAAAATAATAAATCAGCAGTATACGATCTATGAGCAATATAAAAACAAATATATTTTTAAAAGCTTGTTGCAGTTTTCGTTAAAGTGACACGTTATTTTTGGGGAAAACTTACACAATTTATGTGTGCGAGATATGGCCAAAAAACGTAATACCATAAATAAAATATGGTTTAATAGACATCGATATATTATGTGGATTATTAACAACACCGAAGTGACACTCACAATGATTGATTTCATTTGGGGTTGAACTAGTTTATTATTTCAAGATAAATACCGTGATTCACCTGTCTAACGTTCCTACTTCGGAAATTGGTTCATTTAAGATTTTATAGATTTTTATTCTTCTATATTTTATTTTATTATATTTTAAATTTCTAATATTTAGATTTTAAATGTATTTATTAATTATTTATACCTAGGAGCAAATGGGTAGCGGTAGTTTAAACTTTAAATGTTCAGTATTTTAGAACATAATAACATTAGATTTGTGTATTTTATTTCCGTTACAGCTTCTATAATGTATTTTTTTAACCTAAAAATAATAGAAATAGCTAATCATTTCTATGACCCTAAATCCTGCACTTATAAGTATATAATTATTTCCATCTACTAAATATAAGCTTTATTATACGAATTCGGGATTACAAATATTGTTAATTCAACAAAATAATATAATTTGAGTATTATAATATTTATACGTAAAAAATATTTATGATTGTATTAAAAAATTGGTAAGCTTTCACCAAAAAATATAGTTAAAAAATAAAAATCTCTAAGAAAATTATTTTATAAATATTATTCGATTCTAGATTTAGTTGAATACTCGAAGTTAGAAACTAATAATAAATAATTTTATTCATAACTGAATACCTAACCCAATTCAACAGTTTTATAACTACACATAATACATAATCTATATTTTTATCCCTGTAAAAGCGTCTATTAGGAAACATTAAAATACAAAAAAAAAACATAAATATCCAGTGTATGTAAATAATATCATAAATGTGTGTCAACTTGTATGAAACCTATTAAGATAAACAGAAAATATTTTAAAAGTTTTTTTATGAATATAGCTTCAGTATAATTTATGAACATGAAAAATATTAAATAAAAGTTTATGCGCTTTAAACTTTTTTATGTGTATAAGGTTTAAGTAAAAATGTGTGAAATACAAACTAAATTAGAGACTACTTGTGTTATTGATTGTTATAATGATCTATAATACCAGTAGTTACACCACGAGCGTTGATAAAATAACTACAACTTCACGTTAAACGTTTTTTTTTGCATGGTCTGAATGTTTAACAAAAAACTATGCTTTATAATCACAAACTGCGTGATACATAGACAATAAGATTTTTTAAGCTTTTCGATTGTTAAAAAAATAAGACAATTATCGCGTAAGTATAACACTATGATTTAAAATATCAATGCGACAATTTCTATTATACCCAAAATCAGACCGGGGAAAGAGTTCATATAAAAAAATTAATATAATTTTCAATAAAAAAATAAAACAAAATTGTTGTATTTTTATATAAAATAAATATACAGCAATACCTATTACTTGATATTATTGTCTTTTTAAGTACACGTTTTAAGAGAATGAATTTGTGCATTCATAAATACATAATACATATTTATAGTTTTCTCTGTTTGATTTTGATTTTTTTAGTGTATAATTTTACTTTTAAATATCTTCTGCCATTGTAAAACCTTTAAATAAATGTATATCACAATACCTATTTATTATATCCAGAATACAAAATTCAGTAAACTATATTCTAAAATTTATAAATCGTTATTTTTATTACTCAAATATATAGTATATACCTAGTATATAAGTATACATTACAAAGAAAATATTAAAATATACACACAAATTTATGATTTTACACAGCATTTATGTAAACATAATATAACTTTTAGTCTTTCTATTATCGTGTACCTAATTCCATATTCCTTAAATTTGGTATAAGACAATGCTTGCCAAAATTTTAACTGAAGTATGCTACGTTTACATAATAATATGACGTATACAATACAATAAATTTGGCCGAGTATTCAAGTACCTACTACCTTTATATATAACAATACAGGGTACCGTACGTTAGTACCGTATAGTACATTCTGAAATTGTCAATTTGTTGTGTTAACATTTACTATTTTATTCCAATCGGCAGTGCGCTTCGACGTAGCTTTTATAATTTATTATAATATATCTAATACATAAATATTTAAATATTATTTTTATTTTACAGATCAAAACCAACTGAAATAAAAATGAAATCCATCGCAGCCGTTGTGTGTACTCTTCTTCTAGTCTCTACATTAATATCAGCTGCTCCATCTTACATGGACTACGAGAGTGAGTACACAAATATCCCGATATTATTTTACAGCATTATATAATAATATTAATAATTATTATCATTATATCACCAAACAGTTAAGTATAAATAATAGACATACCTATACTATGTATTAATTATAAATTAAAACACATGACTTCAAACATTAGTAGTTCCAATGACACATTTTTTCAATTGCGAAAATCTTTAAAAGGTCCAAGAATATGTAACAAAAAAAATGTTGTTTCCGATTTTTATCATTATTATATGTTTTATGTTATAATTTAAATTAATTGTATGGGCGCCAAAAAATAATTTAAAATATTTTGTTTTGTTAAATAATTCGCATGATATTACCTTTTATGTTGAATTCATTGGATAATTTTAAATTTTCATGGTTTCAACTAAAACAATAAAGTTACCAACAATGAATGGACGATATAATTCACTTTGTTTATTGTACACGCCTACGCTGTAAAGGATAATCGAACAAATCCAATAATCTAAAGCTCAAGCAAAATAAATCCCACTTACCAGTAAAAAATCCCACGGATACGATTCTAAAATATTATTTTAAATAATTTAATAATTTATATACAATAATAATTATATTAAAACAAATGAAAAATAAGATTACCTTATATAGTTGTTATATTTTATACGGCGAAGAAAGCATACTCTAATAATAGCACCTCAAATTGTTCGTTGTCGTTAGTTTTAGGTTTAGTTACTCATAAGGCCAGTTTCTTCTCTCTTATTTGGGTTTCCACTTTCCAAAGATGGTTGTGGAGAACATTACTGGAGTTAGTGGATTAACTTAAGCCATTAATTAGGCATGGTATTTTTCATAGTAAAGTTGTGTGAACTGATGACTGTTCGAATTTTTAAATCTTTATATGGGGATAGATTTAAGACATATCACGGGGTTACAGTAGCCAGACGTAAACAGATCGCATTTAACTCATCAGTTTTGCGAGGGTTTAATGATTAAGTTTTACTTTTACTAGTTTTACTTCATATTTGAATTTTGTAATCCGAAAGTGGCTTTATAATTATTGGTTAGAATTTTAGTATAGTTATATTTTGTTTTTAATTTTAAGGTTCATTATAGATTTTAATAATGGACATAGTGGGAGTTCTTTAGTCCTTGAAACTCGATTATTTTCCTTGCCCTGGTTATTCTTTTATTTAAGATGATATCTAGGTGTTTTGAGGATTAGTAGTTTGTTGTTATATTAATTGGCTGATTGACTTAGGACTGGGAAATAATCCTAAAATCAAAATTGTATTTATTAAGTATTTTATATATTATATATTTTAATATTATATTTCATTAGGTATACCATTTGTTCAAGATGTAGTTTTAACCGATAACAAATTATTTATATTTTTCAGGTACTTAATAAAAATATATTTCAAATCAAAGCTTTATCTAATTAAAAAGTTAGATATTTACATTTTTTTTTCAAACTTTTCAATTTAATCCAATTAATTTTATTATCTATTAATCTTATATAATATCTTAATTTCCTCAAATGCATTTATAGCAAAATAATAAAATGTAAATAATACAACTCATAGCTCTTGATAATACTAATTAAAAATGTATTTATTTAAATGAATATAATATTATCTCAAACAAAACGTTTATACGTTAATTATAAATTTGTTACACAAAATGTATTTGTTAAATTCAGGCTTCCAGACACCCTCCCCAGGCCGAAATATGGTAATAATAAATAAATGAATAACAACAGTACTTATAATAATATAATACGTAATCAATGATAATAGTGCACAATGAATGAATATTCAACAACTTGTGTTACGTAAGACATCAATGCCTATAATATAGTTTAAATAATTTGAAAAGGAAACATATTTCAACTACAAAATTATTTCGAATCATAAAAATTATACAAATGTTCTCCAAATACACTTGTGTAATATTTACGACGTAATTAAATATATTTTTTCCAAACTGAATTAATTGAAAACTAATAAACACCAGTAAGTGAAACACTTGAAATACGGTAGTCGTATTTTAATTATCGTTCCTTCTATTTTCATTTCTTATTTATGCTGGGAGTTTGGCCCTGACCTGAATATTCTGCTTTATTATATTATATTATCCTTTGGATTGTTCGTCGTACACGTTTATTGTTATCTACGATTTTGCTGAGAGTGCAATTTTTCTCATTGCAGCACTCAAAACGATTTAGGTACTTTTGTTTTTTGTCGAATATAAACTATATCTAAACCATGGACAAACAAATAGGTACCTACAAACAAACCACCACGTCACGGTATGATTATACCAATACAAATAATAACAATTATGATAATATGCGGCCAAAGAAGTATACGTCGTCAGATGATAAAAATAATGATTTTGTTACAAGACTACGATAGAGTACCGAATAAGCACACTCACATCGACGTCACGACGACGCTGTTTCACGATAATTCACGAATATTACATTATAAACGTACAAATCAGACCACACAACATTAATTGCTTTTCATCAGAATCAATCTCCGTTGGTATAGTCGGTACACATAAGTAACGAACCCATAAACCCATACCAAAATCTGAGATATCGAAATACCTAGGTATAATCTTTGACAAACGTCAGATACAGGCAAAACACTGCATCCATTTAACACCATTAAAATCAAACAGATGACTTAATCTGCTTAGAGCCGTACTAGAAAAATACTCAAAATTCTCTATCAAAACCAAAATTTAAATTTATAATCTCCTGCTTAAGACTGTATTATTGATGTATGATAATATTTTACTTGTATGCTATTGAACTTTGGGCTCCTCCGAAATACTAACACTTAAAAATATAAGTGTTTCAATAAAAAAAAGGTGGGCAAGTGGGTGTCGCTCTGCTGTACAGTAGGTTACAAGTGGGTCACTGTATAATGGATGGTATTAAATTTGAATTCAATGATATAATATCATTGTATAAGAAAAACGATTCTGAGCGGTGATGGTATGTCAGTCTATGTATAAGGCATATTATATACATATCTATGGTATTAAACAAAAAATTGACCTATAATAGGTAGTAGGTACCTATAATAAATTCCAAATTAATCATATCACAATATCCATTAGATACTTATAACGCGTTATACATCAACAAAAACCGTAATACTATCATAGATATATAATAGTACACTTTAGAAGTTTCAAGTACCCACGAATAATATTATTCAATCACAACAAAATAACTAAAATAGTTATTCTAGGTTTTTTAATATGTAATTTCGTCCAAATTTGAAATTAAAATGTCTGTAAAAAATAAGTGTGTTTATATATTTTTTAGATTTTTTGGTTACAGTATGAATTATTTAAGAGAATCTTTGTTTTAAATTTTCAACTCTTAGTTATAAAAACTGAACATTTTATAATTTTTTAATTCCAACGATTGATTATTTTCGAGATTTTGATAAATTTTGTCAAAATTCCAACTTTAAATGCTTATAAAAAAAAATCGTGCTTATGTATTTTTAAAATTGTTCAACTGATATTGTAACAATATATAAGAAAGCTTGTATTCAATTTTCAGACTTTTTGGCCAACCAAATAAAATTTTATTGACAATTATAAAAAAAAAAACTAAAAAAATTGAAAACTGAAAATGTCCCTAAACAGCTCAAAAAGAGTCAAAATATTTTCAAAATTGTATGGTGTATAGAAAATGCTAATTTAAACATTCAGTGAAATTTTCATGTATCTACAGTTGTTCGTTTTTGAATTACAACAAAATAAGGAAATCGCTACATGAGAAATCGAGTGAATATCCAATGTTGTAAAAATTTTAATTTCAAACGCTCATAAAAATTTAACTTGACTGTCCGGTAGAGATTTTTTTATTGATAAAGGTAGATAATCTTATAAGGAATCTTGTGTTTCATTTTCAAATCTTAGATTTAAAAAGAAAAATTTTTACGAATTCTTAACTCAAAATAATTTGCTAATTTTCGTGATTTTTCCATATTTTGTAAATTTTTGAACTTTAAATGCTTATAAAAAAAAATCGTGCCTATGTATTTTTAATATTTTTCAACTGATATTGTAACAATATATCAGGAGCCTTGTATTAAATTTTTACACTTTTTGACCCAACAGATAAAACTTTATTGATATTTATAGAAAAAAAACCTAAAAAAATTGAAAGCTGTAAATGTCCATAAACAGCTCAAAGAGAGTCAAAATATTTTCAAAATTGTATGGTGTATAGAAAATGCTAATTTAAACATTCAGTGAAATTTTTATGTATCTACAGTTGTTCGTTTTTGAATTACAACAAATAAGGAAATCGCTACATGAGAAATCGAGTGAATATCCAATGTTGTAAAAATTTGAATTTCAAACGCTCATAAAAATTTAACTTGACTGTCCGGTAGAGATTTTTTATTGATAAAGGTAGATAATCTTATAAGGAATCTTGTGTTTCATTTTCAAATCTTAGATTTAAAAAGAAAAATTTTTACGAATTCTTAACTCAAAATAATTTGCTAATTTTCGTGATTTTTCCATATTTTTACAATTTTTGAACTTTAAATGCTTATAAAAAAAAATTGTGACTAAGGATTTTTAATATTTTTCATCTGCCTTTGAAACAACATATTAGGAGCCTTCTATTAAATTTTCAAGCTTTCGCAACCAACAAATAAAATTTTATTGATATTTCTAGAAAAAAAACTAAAAAAAAATGAAAAATGAAAATGTCCCTAAACAGTTCAAAATAAATCAAAATATTTTGAAAATGTTATCGTGTATTGAAAATGCAATTATAAACAACCAGTGAAAATTTCATGTATCTACGGTCATTTGTTTTAAAGTTACACCAAAAACCAAATTCGATTTTTTGGAAAATCGATTTTGAGTAAAAATTCCCTTTTTTCCTTAATTTTTATGTTGTTTTTCCCGGCGCTTGTGAAAACTACTGGGAAATTTATACTTTTGACCTCCCAAAGTACCAACTAGATTCACTTTCCTATCAGAAAAGCTATTGATGAAGAAAATCCAAGCACTTTTACTGTCCTAAAACGTGATGACAGACACAAAAATATAAAAATATAAAAATATAAAAACACACATCATTGTAAAACCAATACATTCATCGCTCCGCTCAGAATCTAAAATATAAATAAAAATATAAAAACATACATCATTGTAAAACCAATACATTCATTCATCGCTCCGCTCAGAATCTAAAAATAATGAGACTCATAATATTAATGACGCAAATTAGACCATCCTTACTCATCTTCGTGTTCCTCAGGTTGGTTAAGTATCCAATTCAACACTACAGCAAACACAGTAGCTACCTTAAAAGTCATACTAACCACCAAATCCGAAACCTACTATCTATCTGATATCTCTATCCCTGGAAATCTTCCCAGATGGCTTAATCTAAATTGTCCATGAGACCTATTTTTATTTAATTTTTAAAACGTATATAGGCACTTATCATGTTGACTTTTTAAGCTCATGCAGAATTGCCATCGTTTGGTTGATTTTCCCCCTACGCTAAACAATATAGCCATGTTCTCCATTATACTTACTGTGCAATATGTTTAAGATTGTATAATTTTCTAAATTAAAAAAAAAATATATATATTATGGGCTCAATAAATAGCTACCAATCGTTGTATTTCAGACGCCAAAGATCTGTACGAACTTCTGTTGCAAAGGGATCTAATAGACTCCATGGGGAACTCTTTGATCGATCCCAATCAACATCGCATGGTCCGCAAAAACCAGAGATCTCCATCGTTGAGGTTAAGGTTCGGACGCCGAAGCGATCCGGCGCTCTACCAGGTAAACATTATCATTATATATTATTATAATATTAAGAGTTATTATATGGATAACTATACTGTGGACAATCTGGCCGTGTTAATTGTTGTCTAACATAATAATATTGCAGGCAAGTATGCTATTTCTTTATTCAATAATATTAATAAGCAAATACCTTCATGTGCAACAAATCTCTTTTAATTTTATTGATTACCACTTAGCTGGTTTCTGATTTTAAAGGGTATATAATTTCTAAGGATAATATTTAATTAAATTCAACTTTTAAATGGAATAAAATACTGTTTGAACAGTTTAAAGCTCAAACAGTAAATACAACGATCATAAAAATATTTTAAGTTATCAATATTTTTAAGTTTTTAACCCATGGATATTTTCTTCTAGCTAAAAGCTTTACATAATATCTTAAAACATTATTTTAAGTTCAACACTTTAACAAAAAACTTAATTATAATCAAGTATAATACTTTATCGAGAATTATGTATTAAGAACTAAAGTTTAGTTAGCTAGTAGTTATTTTATATTATATTGTATTATATATATTATAAATATGTTATTTTATATAATTCCTAATCAAAATTTTTTTCCAAAATATCCCTCAGCTTTTACTATAAAATATATATTTATAATTATTTTATTGGTGGTGTAACCTCGAGTCCCAAGTCCCAACAATAGATATTATTCTACCCTGGGTGTACCATGTACAATGAAAATGAACATTTTTAGATTAGGTATTTAGGTTTCACCACAAGTATTTCATTCAGTTGATTATTTTCCGTTTTGATAAATTGAATGATAAAATGATAATTTGAATTATAGTTCAATGTAAGTGCTCTATTTAAGTTGCTCGGTGGTAAGTAAAATTAAAGATGATAACAATAAAAACAATAACAATACTGTTACTTAATACAAACAATGTATAATATTGTTTCCAACTCTATTAAAAGTAAATGGTAGTATTAAATTTTAAAGTTGCCTAATTTTCTTCTGAATGGACGTTATGCAGATGTAACATTACGTTAGTACGTTACAACAAGAGAAAGGTTTTTTTTTAACAATTGTTGTATATTATTTGTGTATAGTTCAATGTCAACGACTAAGAAATAATGAATTTAAATCATCTTTACTAATATTTCAATATATAATAATTAGAATATACGTAATAATATGTACCGTTCCAGACTTGATTTTTATCCTGAATTTAATTTTGTGTTAGACTCAACTCTTTTTACTTTCTCTGCCATCGTTAACTTATCGTTCATTATACATAATATATCAAATGTATGTATTCAGTATTTGAAGATTATAAACTTGTATATAGCGTCAGCAATAAAAACCATAGTGTTGTTATAACTAATAGTTTTTATTATATATAACTATTCCCTAAGTACAGTAGTTGAATATTTTAAGTGATTTAGGTGTAATGCACTTGAAGTGACATGTTTGATTTCTAAAAAGGTAAAATATTGTTTTATTTTGTTAGGTATTGTATTATCCACAGCCTTAACCTATCTCATTTGATACGCTCAGTTTTCCCAATTTATCCGTAATAGGTAGTTCTATTAATTTTCTAATTCGCATAATTTGTCACTCGTTAGGGAGTAAAATGTTCCTTGGTGTAAGTGACTGTTAATATTCGAATACAGGTAATTTTTATCACGTATTATTCAATATTGAACAATGTGCATTATCGTTATAGTTATTATTTTGGAGAAATCGCAACAATTATTATGATCACAATATTATTGTAGGGAAATGCGTTTTAAAAATGACTCGTCTTTGAGTATAATTAATTATTTTAAGCATGTATTATGTTTATAAGCTGTAACCAAACCTTGGACAAGAAATTTAAAAACAGAAACAAACTTAAATCGCAATCAAAATCATAGCCCCGTAAACTACAAACTCGATTTAAAATGTAATTTTACAGTCATAATTATTATGCATGCGAACAAAAACGAACATCGTTACAACATCTGATCAATGGAAATAATTAAAAGCGTGACAAAAGTAAAAGTAGGATAAAAACATGACACTGATATATAATTTAAAAGGTACCAAAATTCAGGGTTTAACAAAAAATGAATACTTATCGGATTTTCAAAGAATTGTATAGTCAAAACTATAAATCCAAAAATATTTTTATTAGTATTGTTCCTCACATTGTGGAAAGCTTTTCAACATGCATCTCACGAGTAACCCTCACAATATCCAACCGATATTCCAATTCATCCCATACCATAAGTAGCGGCGATCCTTTTGTTTTCAATTATTCTTCCACATTCTGAGGCATTAGTTGATAAAAATTTGAATACACAACCTTTCATAACCCTCAAAAAAAAAAAAGTAAACCATGTAGATTAATGTCAGATTACTTCTCGGGTAAATAGTGGGGGAGGGGAAATTGAACAATTTTTGACGAATGTGGAGAACATGTACATTTAATACAAAAACGGTTTTTGAATTTATAGTTTTGACAATGATATGCTATTTTAAACTTTAATATTAATTTTGTTACATTCTGTATAAATAATATTCTTATATAGGCCCTCTGGAGAATTTGTTTCAAACAGCAGCTTGACGCATGTGCTGCTATAACTGGGTTTCCATTATCGCGGAGTTCACTCGTGATGAATTCACTTTCGGGGCCCGAGGGACGTCTACCAACAGTTAGTTAATATCATATAGGTGAACGGAAACTTACCGCATGCAAAATTCTATTATGATTGTCTGCAATCAGTTATGATGATCTCAAATCCCGTTTGGATCTCTTTATGGTATTATTATAATTTATTGTTACCTATTTTAACACTATTTGTTTTAAAAAAAAACACTATTTGAACAATTGTTGTTATTTTGAAGGTTTTGTTTGATTTTTAAACGTTGAAGGGCACGTTTGATTGTTTGATCTAATTCTATCGAAAAGCGGGTTTAAAGGTACATGTATAATGGGTATAATACTGCAGTCGGCCGGAATTCAACATTCTAATAAATAAACAATATATTTAAAACAAGACTACCTCGATTGTATAGCAAACAGCAATTCATTTTGAAGAGCTGTAACTTTTGAGACAAAAATGACCAGATATTTTGGGGCGATAATTTTGAGAACAAAACACGGTGTTCCAAGTGATGATAAAATCTGAATTGTCATTTTTAAAAAAATAAACGTTTGTAAAATATAGTAACCTTAGTTCCCTTAATATTTTTATTGCTATAATATGATTATTTTTTTTTTTAATTTTGATAGTTCTTAACCTATTCAATGAATTTCTTAAGCTAATAATAATTTGAAGAAAAAAACTATTTAGTTAATTAGCTCTGTTAAATAAGAACTCTGGGTCATTTTTTCTTGTGATCTTAGGTGCACTTGAGCCAGTTTTATGATAGTAGGATAACATGGCATTAAAGTTTCACAAAGTACATATAACTTTCCTGGCGACAGCCCACGTCATGTTACAAGACTCGAATATTCTCAGACATTCCCACTCACGTATTCTGATCCCAAGCCAGAGATATTTAAAATATTTAGAATATTTTAACTCCATCGTGGAAAAATACACCCATAGCGATGACCTTAAACCTGCAATTTGAAATACATATTCTACACAGGATATATTATTATATAGGTACTTGCGGGGTAGAATGATTCAATGTGGGTGGTTGGGTAAGGACGTAGATAGAGAAATTGACTTGCGATATTATCTGAATCCTTCACGACAAATCATTTTACAAACGTGTAATGGCAGTATAAATACATACAAGGATATCGTCGTATACCGGCGGGGTGGGTGGTTATAATAAAATTTATCAGGACATCGGTGGTAATCGGTGTTATTCGATTTCGTCGTACAAGTAAATGGTAGGTATAGCTATTATCAATGATTGTGTACAGCCTATCCACGTGTATGTATATATATCTATATATATATTCGCGTCACCCGACGGACTTCCGGCAGTGGTCATATAGGTAATCATATATATTGTACAATATAATGTACTTATAGGAAAATAATGTACCGAAGAGAAAAATCTCATTACAAGGAGACCGGCGTAATAGGTTTCCGCCGGTGTCCATATTATATTATAATATAATATATATTATTATTTTTATTTTTATTTTATACGTATATACGGATTCAAAAGCCGGTCGTTCGTCAAGTACGAAAACAACGACGTAGTTATATAGTCGGGAAAATCGTTTTTCCACTTGAAACGAACGATATACAATAATAATATAATAAATAACATAAACACATATATATATATATATATAACTTATATAAGTATATGTAATATGTGTACAGTTTAATATGAACGTACGTAGGTACAAACGGTAATAATACGGCTTATACGTGTAATAATACACATATAAGTGATATTAAACGAACCGTATTGAAATATGGTGAACCATAAGCGTATATAAAAAACCAGACACACACACACTCACACACACACTTGTAACGAGGCGTAGATGTGTGTAAAATAATGTGTTACGTTATTAGGCTACCGACTACGAATGTGTCAGTGTGTGATCATGAGCAAACGATATTGGATGCACTTGAATATAATATGTGTATAGGTAATAGTAAGTTGAGCACATGTATACAAATAGTAATAATAACGGTTGTCGTCCCGACTACGCAGCGTTGTAAGTTTACGCGCGATTAGTCAAAATATCGAATTTATTTCCTTTTATTACAATATGTTATAATATATTTGTTTTTATACACATTTTTTCTTTAGGCATGAGAGGAAGAAAAATATATCCGTTTCGTTTGTTCTGTGGTGAGGGTTTTTTCTCGAACAAATACAAGCGGCCGATTTTTTTCTTACCATAAAATAATAATTTTTATATTACTCGCTCCTTTATGGAAACAAAAAAAAATCTAAGGGAGCGGAGAGGAATAATACGATATTATATACATAATACATTATAATGATTTTAAAAACGACCGGGCGTCGACTGCAATTATTCACAAGACACTGCAGCAAACGCACT